CGCCAGACCAAACTCACATAAACAACTTTGGTAGTTGCGCTCCTGATTTTTTGCCTTTTTTTTGTGGCTACTCCAGGAAGAGTCAGTTTCCTAGACATTCCTCCTTAAATGTCATAGCCCTCTTTTCTTCTGCAAGTGTCCAATTACTCTCTGCGCTGACCCAGCTACTCTGCCCATCCCCTCACCTCCCTGAATAAACCTTATGTAGCAGCTGGGGCAGGAGCGAAGCGGAATACTATAAAGTGTCACTTGAGTGACATCTCTTGGGCTGCTGACATCACATCCACGATGGAAGTTCTCAGCAGCAGCAGTCTAAAGCCTTTCGGATGTCTACACAAGGAAGCATTGTACAGGTAAATACCCTGCATAAAATACATTAAATGCACATATAATTTTATGGGACTATTTTTGTTTAAATGAATGGTCTGGCAATAGGGTCTGTTTGAGATAGTGCCTGAAATTAAATGACTGTGGTCTTCTTAGTTTTCTACATCCTAACAGCTATCACGGGACTGAGAAGAAATTGGGTAGAGTGTCAGCATGAATTCAAAGATGATTTGAGGACCTACAGTTGAGTGATAAACAAATCAATACAATTATTGTTAATAGTTAAAGGAGAACTATGGGGTTAGTTCTCCGAACGGGAGGACACAAACTAGCCTCCTCCCGTCACCCTAAGCTCAGTATACCGCGAGCTACAGCTCGCGGTATACTGAGATGCCACAGCTGAAGCGGATCCAAAAAATTATGTCTGGACCCGCCCAGCTGCGTGAGTGACAGCTGGTTCTGCCTATCTAGAGGCAGAGCCAGCTGTACCCGCCCCCTCCCCCGTCCGTTCCGCCAGTCAGTGCTGGAGGATCGGGGAGGGGGGAATCCAGCCACCCCCTATCACGGCAGAGAGCCATGACAGGATCGAGAGCTGAGTGTAAAATACTTAGATTAAAATTTGATTTGGCTTAAAGGGAATTATAGAATGGGCCCATACATATATATTTACAGTGACCTCGTGCGTTTAAATGAAGCATATGAATGTATGACTTTGAAGAAGACATATCCTTATCTGTCCTTGAAAACTGAGCTATGTCAGAATTTGAAGAGAACTAGTAAAGAAGCAGCTGTTAGGGGAGTGTTTTAAGAACAAGGTTATGTGTTTTAAATAGAGTTGTAGAATGAAATCTTGATGACTAAAGTAGTTTAGGTCAAGCCATATAAAGAAAGTAAGGGAGTCGTGACGTCAGAAATAAGTTAAGAATATGCTTACATAAGTATATGACTTTATAGGATTAGCCAATCATTAACGTCGATTTTGGAATATAAGCGACATGCGACTTCACACTAGGCACTTCATTACACTACATCATCACACTACTTTACATCACACTACACTATTTCACACGAAGAGAACTCTAACACGCCCACAAGAAGAGACTTTGTTATTCCACCTGCTAAGAAGACTATTTTGGCTGAACCGTTCAGAAGCCTTAGAGAATACCATGAGGTAAAGACTCAGAACTTTTAAACTCTGCATTAACTAAGAACTATATACTTTGAACTATCTATTTGTATATTACTTTTGCAATATCATTGTATGCTGTGACTTCCCATTATACAATTAAAGTCACAAGTTTTTCACTCTACAACTGGACATTCATTGATGAAGATTAATCACCTTAAGACGCTTAAATCGTAAGTGTCAGTCAAGAAATATTATTTTCTAACAGTGAGCGAACGCCGGTATGTGTTCGCTCACTTCTCGATCTACTGAGCCGACCTGTGACAGTCTCATTGTCACAAGTCGGCTAGAACTATGAGGTGAGTGAAAAGCACTCACCTCATAGTTCTCCTTTAAGGTACTTGAATGCTTTTTTTACGTTTTAACTCCTGAGTTTAGTGTCACTTTAAAAGACCCTCTAAAATCCCTTTCTGGTCAATGTCACAAAAGTAGCCCAATATGTTAAAAAAAAATTATAGCTTCCCTTTAAGAACCAAGTATATGTATTATTATTATTCATTGGATTATAGAAGTTTTTTTACTTTTACACAATATGACAAATGGTATACATAACTCCTCCTGTCCATTTTACTACTTAAAAGCAAAGTGAAAAATGCTTTATGTGTGTGGTAATAGGAGTCTCTGGTGACATTCAATTTATGTACATTATACCTTTTATTCATTGTCTTCTCACTGTTTATTCCTTTCATTGTCATGTTATTGTTGTTCAATGTTTGTCTCTCCCAAACATGTTTATGTGGTTTTTTTTAACATAACTTTGCAGACATAAAAGCACCAATTTAGAAGCAAAGATATAGGAGTATTTGAATCAGAAATCTTTTTGTCACTTTCTCATCACACGGCCTCCCTGTTGTTGACTTATGCATATGACAATCTAAGACAGGATGTCCAAAGTTGGCCACAGACATCAGATGACCCAAAACTGTAGATATGATCCAGCAGGCCAGCTTTAGGCAGAAACACACAAGTAATGGCATATTCAGGTGCAAGCCATGGAGAAGGTACACTTATACAGACACCTCTTCTACTCTCTTATCTTAGGTGAAATAATGATGATTAGAGGTTTTCACCCAAGATAATTCAGGTGCAGTTACATTGAAGTATACAGTATCTTAAACATGTTCCAGAGTTTTGCTGTCAGTCATTATAGTTGGAAAGCAGTCTACCATGTCTGCTCTGGCTCATTACAGTATTGTTGGGACAGGGAATAAATTAACACAGCACAAACTTCAGTGCGGTCTTAGTTGAAAAATAAGATTTTAGGCCTTGAAAAGTTTGAACCTTATCAAAATATGGACAAACTAGTACACAGTTCAGGTACATTCAGGTTGAAACCTAATGTGTGCTTACTTCGAATTAAAAAACACTAGAGGTGTGGCAACGTTGCTTACCCCTATCTTGAGCATCTGTATATTGTTCAAAGGCATGGGGTGGCTAACGCTCACAATGAGACAATGAGAGTAATCAGATTCTTAAAGTGTATCTCAAACCAAGGACAAAAATTTAATATATTGAAGCTTATAATTTCTGAGGTTTTGTGGTTGCATCGGTTTTCTCTTTTATTAGGCTTTTTTTACCTTGTGATCCTGCCAGTAACACATTTCCTATGCTGGGATGATTACCTAGGACAGTAGTTTTGTAGGATTACAGAACACCCCCTCTACTCTTTTCCATAAGATACTGTAGATAGAGTAGTGCCATAGCTCGCAAAGATTGAAAGGGAACAATATAAACTGATAAGAGTACTGCACAGGTAGAGAGCACAGGAAGTTATCAGTGCGCTGGATGCCTGGAAGCAAACAAAATATTTTTTGCACTTAACCAGATATAACAGTATGCTTTCAGAGGTATATTTTACAGACCAAATGGGAGCAAATTCATTGCTAGGGTTTTTGTTGTTGTTTACTTATCGTTCTTTCACAAGTCTAACTGACATGCCCTTCTTCTTACATGACATTGCTTTAGTCTGGCAATCAGCCGTAAAGTTAAAGGATTGCATCATGGGAGAAGTTCACATGCTTCCTGATACCTGTAAAATATACTGATACTGGGTAATTTGTAGTTGATCCAACAGAACAAAGAGAGAGTGTGGAGAAGGGGAGTATAAGTGTATAAGAGTATCGGGGGGTGGGCTTTAAAGAGACTTAGAATGTGTAAATCCCATTTCTGATGATAATGAGGGCTGATGAGCACCAACCTGTGTGGAGGGATTTGGGGTGTCCCACTGAACACAGTGCGACCCTCAGTTCTCCAAAATTTGCCAGTCGATAAGAAAAACAATCACTCTGTGCTAGGAATTCATGTGAGGGAATACATTTGACAAAAGAAAACAACCAGCTTAAGACAAATGAACACAAAAAAGAATAGCTAGAAAGGAATGCAGCATTGGAATAAACATCCATTAAGCCAGAGACTATGAATGGTATGAGCAAATAAACATTTGGGTTATTTGTTTTTTTTTTTAATTAACAAAGCCAACCTTTATACATCATTCATGATTCCTGCTGTGATGAAGTTACACTCATAAGAAGTGGTTACACTAATGTATAAGGAAATAACAAACAGACACCAAACACACCTATATTACATTGTTCAGCAGACTAATGGAACACATTGGATCTCCTAAGCAATATAGGCATCCAATTTGTACCATATTTGTATGTAATGAATAGTAATTTCAATCGGTGCAATAATATTTTGATTGTTCGTTTGTAAATCCTTGTCAGATGGAGATATAGAATACTTGGCATTAGGTATGTGTTTGCATTTGCAGCTCTAGGGTCTCTCGCTTACCATTGATCTATGAAGGAATGCCATTTTTTACACTGTTCTGTTGCTTCTAGGACGTGTAGGTGAGTGTCACAGACATTCCTTAAAGGTCATAACTGCAACAGTAGATACTTTTAACAGCGTGTGTTGCTGTTAAAACACGTGGTGGTGGCTACTGTTTGTGTATGTAAAGGGTTAACTGGCCCCAGTGACAATCATTCTGAGTTTGCTGGTGTTTAGATTTTTGTCCCATGAGCTGGAAAATGTTTGCGCAGGGTGAAGCTCAGAGTGCATTTGTCACACTAATTTTTTTGCTGTCTGTGTCCATTTCAGATATGGTCCAGAGACACAACAAAGTGAAGTAAAATTGCTAGTCGTCACATTTCTGCTCTATTGTTGATGGGAACATTTTGATTTTTCCATCATTTTTGTGATGATTATGGTCACCGGGGCAAAGAGAGTGATTCTTTCTAGCAGAGAGGAAAACAACTTGACAGGGGATTTCATTTTTCCCTACTCTACCCAAAAGGAAAAAAGGCTTTAGACACTTTAAAGCAGAAAACAACATGCAGATTATCCACCCTTAGCGGTGGACTCAGCTCTGGGGTACTTAGTGTGGCAGTTGTCTCTGGATGTGCTATAGTCCCACCAATGCTACTATTTACATAATGACACTACAAGTAGCTAAACCTGAGAAGTAAAATATCCAGACGCATACCTTTACTGAGGTGTACAGGCATGCTCTCTGATTTCATCATGCGCTGATTTTGTGGCATCTGCAGGGGTGGTGAAGCCCGATGTGGTGTAGGTTCAGCAACAGATTGACTTGGAAGAACTTCTGAAAAACTGGCTCTTACAACACTATGGCTTATGTTGGTGTTTGTTGATGATATCATTGGATTCATTGTTCCTCCAGTTGGAATTGCTGGGCCAATTAGTTTCCATCCAAGACTCCGTAAACTGCTAGAGACTTTATTTATATTTATGGTAGCAGGCTTGGCATTAGCCCTAAATTCAAAGACAAAGAATAAAGTAAGCAGTATTACAATATTCATATAACATACTATTTGGACATTTCATTTTTAAAAACTTGAGTCGGAAAATATGAAAATAACCTTCAGGAGTGTGCAAAAGGTGAACGAACTACAGACATACCGTATATACTCGAGTATAAGCCGAGATTTTCAGCCCATTTTTTTGGCTGAAAAGTGCCCCCCTTGGCTTATACTCGAGTCAGCGTTAGGTGTCTTCTTACTTACCTCGCCGAGCGTTGCGTCACTGCTGCTCCGGTGTGCGGCGCTCCGAGCGGGGTCATCTGGCAGTCTCCGGGTCCTAATGACCCCGCTCGGAGCGCCGCCCACC